TATACAATCTCCTATACAACCCCCTTTAACGAGTTCTGACTGTAGCTCATGTAGCCGCAAGCATGTTGCATGGTGGCAGCCTGCACTGCTTTGAGATCCTTTGGTTGCAGGGGTGCGAGCATATTTATTTGTAGATTGGGTATACCAGATAAGCCGGGCATACTGGGTCTATTGGGTATAACGGGGTATGGCGGGTAGAATGGTGTACAATGGGTAATCGCGAGGCAGCAATCAGCCGCCGTTGCTGCAGGTCCTCCATGTTCCTCATGAAGGAAGACACAAAATTCACGTAATTTGCAATCCTCCAGTATTTCATTCATGGAGGGCAAAACCGTGAATGGCAGCTGCTGCGTTCCTCAGCTTAACTACGCCAGCAGCAGCACCATGCAAAAGCTGTGGTAACCACTGCCATGCACAACCACATCAAGACCCACTCAAAGCCCCAGGCGCTGATCATGCCTGCCATGATGCATCCTAGGGTCAAGAAAATGTAAAACACCAGGAGAATGCAGGCGTACTCTAATGCCTTGCATCCGCAACTCCTGGCCCATAATCCGCGTTTTCTTGCAAAAGCAGAGATAATTGTGATGGAAGGAATCCAAAGCAGATGAAGGGCAACATTATGGCTCAACAGCACAGCTAGCCTCGTCTGCCAAGGTGCCCCAGCTTTCCAAAGACCAAGAGTAGCTTCCACACTCACGCCGAGTAAAGGCGCCGCTACGACCGCTACGTAGCCAGCAGGAATGCTCCCACCAGCTCGGATGAGATCCAGTACCTCCAAGCGGAAGGGTCCTCGCACTTGCTCAGAAAAGGCAGTCAGGCTGCCGTACCATTGCACGATTGCAGCATGGATGCGCTCCCTGTCGCGTTCAACGCTGCACTCTGCATTCAGCACATCAAAGGTGGACAGGTCACAGTCCAATTTCTCAAGCCACTCCTGCCACTTCCACATAGCATGCGCTACAGGAGGAAACATAACAGCAAGCCCGCACATCAGTACAACCACCATCCGCAGAGGGTCACCGCCCTCGGGACCTTTCCTTGCACACCAGAATAGAAAAACGACCACTTGTGCCGACAGGAAAGCCTGACACAAACCAATCTCGCCAAAGATTGGTTGCAGAGTGATCTTTCCTGTGGGGTTCTGCTTGCGATATGCTGCAAGCTCGAAGACACACCATAACCTTAGTTGTGCATTTCCGAAAGTTAACCCTTTTGTTCATATTGGGTTTAATTATCCCCCCCAAAAAACAACAATAAGCAGGACCAGCAAGTAACCTCTTCAGGTATGGCCCGCTCCACAGTACGCGTAGCTCTGCAGAGGCTGCAAGGAAGTGTCCAATGTTGTCTATTCCTTCTTGCATACGGACCTCATCTGTCTGATGGATGGAAACGAAATCCAGGAAACATATGTCGGACCTGCCCCCTGGAAGGTACGGGGAAGCGAGCAATCCTCCAATTGCTGCAATGAAGCCTCCAAGCATGACCCAGCAGCCATATGGAATTTCGCCGTTAAAATCCACAGCACGTGCTTGATAAGTACTGAATAAGGGGAGAATGCCTTGCAAGCAAAGAAGAAACGAAAGGAGTGAGCCGACCACCCAGGAGACCAGCATGGTACGCCAGCCAAAGTGGATGAGTAGTGACAGGTACTTCCACTTTCCGCTTGTCAGCCAGGTATGTGACAGGAAAATGTCAAAGTGTTTGGTTGGTCTTGAAGCATGGTATAAACGCGTGCGCTGTACAAAACTTAATTCAGATGGTCTGTAACGCCAAAGACTGCCTGCCTGTTGCAATGTCCTGCGCAAAGAGATGCCTCGCATCAGCTGTTGACTTCCTTTGGTGCTGTTGGGCTTAGATTAGGGTTTAAGGTTTAGGGCTATATAGTGAATTAACAGCTCTCCTTTCAAACTATTATAATCGTTTAGAAAATGGTTCCTTAACAGCAGCCCAGCTTCTGCTGTGGATCTGGTCCAAATCGGAAGCTGTAGCTCCCTCGCCTTGGGGCTGCGTGCTGACAGCTTGGATCTCACCAGTCTCCCCAATCTCCTCATCAAGCTGCGGGCGGGGTGACTTGCAATCGGGCGCCTCGCAGGCCAAGCAACAGCTCCCTAGGCATGATGGGCTGTCGTGGTCAGTGAGGTCCTCGAAGTCCTTGCCTTGAGGCTGCACACTCTCGAAGCAGTCAGGCTGCATCATGGCGACACATCAGCTAGACAAACTTGATAACTAACCCTAAACCTAAACCCTAAACCTCAAACCCTAAACCTCAAACCCTAAACCTCAAACCCTAAGTCCTAAACCTTAAATTCGAAACCCCAATTGAAACACTGGTACCGAAAAGGATCCGGCGCGGCGGGGCTTTGCAGCCATCTTGCTGAACCCTTGCAAGCCAGAGCAGGAAAGGAACCCCCCCTGGGTGCTGGCCTTAATCTGGGTTGCTGTTAAGGACCTTGGTTTAGGGTTTAGGGTTTAG